TCAGAGGGGGGTACAGTCTCCTTGACCTGTCTCCTCCTGCCTACTTACCTGTAAAACCCATTCTTGTTATTTTTCACATCCTCTGCCAAATTCTACTTGGCTTTCCTAATCCTGTCTCTACACATGCAGACAACATCTGTGTATTCTTCCCAAGCTACACAACCCTGCTTCCACTACCTGTACATTTCTCACTTTTCCTTCAGTTTAAGCTGCATGTCCTTGCACAGCCATGTCGGTGGCCCACCGTCTCTACTTGTTTTCTTCTGCTGGGGGATGGTGAGCTGTTGTGCTTGCTGAAGGGTGTCCTTAAAGAGCTGCCAGTTCTGTTCTATTCCTACACCCTCAAAGATAGTTTCCCAAGGGATCCCATCCAGCAGTTCCTTGAGCAGCCAGAAGTTTGCTCTCCTGAAGTTCAGGGTCCTGACTCTGCTTTTTGCCAGGCCTGCATTCCTCAAGATCACAAATTCCACCAGGGATGGTTACTACAGCCCAGGCTGCCTCCAATCTTAATCTCTCTAATGCTCTCCTGTGCATTGGTGATTACCAGGTCCAGTAAGGCTTCACCTCAGGTTGGTCTGTCTAATACCTGGACCAGGAAGTTGTCCTCAGCAAACTCTGGGAATCTCTTGGATTGTCTGCCACTGTGCTGCTATCCCAGCTGATATCCAGGTGTTTGATATCCCCCATCAGGACAAGAGCCTGTGAGTGTGACGCTTGCTGCAGTTGAAGCAAGAAGGCCTTGTCAGCATGCTCCTCCTGATCAGGTGGCCTGTAGTAGACCCCAAACGCCAGATGTCCTTTCTTGGACCAATCCCTGATTTTAACTGATAAGCTCTCAACCTTGTCATGGCTGTTACTCAGACAGAGCTCTTCACAATCTATCCACTTCCTATTATAGAGTTTTTGTCTTACTACTGTTTTACCTAGGTGTATCCTTGCCTTCCTGTAGCTGAAAGATAATCAGGCAAGGAAATTTGTAAATTTTAACTATTGACAATACTGCAGTTGTTAAAGTAAGTTGTCTTCTACATGTGTGGGGACTCAGCCCCCCATCCCTGGGTATGTTCAGTCCAGGGAAGAGGAGGCTGACGGGAAACCTCACTGCAGCCTACAGCTTTCTCATGAGAGGTGTGGAGGGGCAGTGTTCTCTGGTGGCCAGCAGTAGAAGGGAAAGGCATGGAGCTGCCACAGGGAAAGTTCAGGCTGGATATCAAGAAAAACTTCTTTGCAGACGAAGTTGTTTTATTCCCACTCAGTGAGTTGTGAAGAAGATGAATGTTTGAAATTCCTCAAATAGTGATACTGTATGTTTGACAAGGGTTGCCAGAGCAACCTAGTCAGGTAGTGACTCAACGGAACCATACCAGCCAAATTACTGAGCTTTCTAACAACTACTTTGAGGCAAAATTAGGTAATTTTCTACAGTAGTAGGCAACAGTTACTGAAGAAAAATGACTAAGAGGAGATTAAGGGAAAGACCAACAGAGAGGGAGAAATTTCACCACTTAACATGGACCCAGGATTGTCTTGAGTCTTGATCTGTGAGTGGTGGATCAAAGGTAAATGTGCACATTCAACGTTATATACTGCATTAGTTAGACTGCCTTTGGAGTGGCAACTCACTTGAGTCTAGAGGATTCAGGAATTTTCAACAAGGGTCTCTGGAGTTCATGCACTCCCTCCTGTTAATATTGATGTTTTTCCCTCAGCTGATGGTCTTCAGCCTTAAGCAGAAGTAAGGATAACCCCTCTATCACTGTCTTTGCAGAATGAGGGTCCATAAATCCTTAAAGATTTTGACTCTAGTCATTTAGACCCTATTCTATATTCTCTCTGGGTGAGGATGTAACTAAGGGTGAATCACCGTTGGGCTTGATAAACTCCATGGTACCTCCTTCTTGTAGGTATGAAACCCTGGGAGTCAGCAAACTAGAACAAAGAACAAACTGTGATTAAAGAATAACAGGATGTTCTCTTTATGCTCTTCTGCTGATATGTACAGTTAATGTCATATTTAGGGAAATTGAGAAGCCTATTGTCTTACTGCTGTTGCTTGGTAGAATCTTAAGCCAATGAGCTGTTATTGGTAAATTACTGCTTTCTAATCACAGAATCACAGAATCACCCGGGGTGGAAGGGACCTCAAGGATCATGTAGTTCCAACCCCCTGCCTAGCAGGGCCACCAAACACACACATTCAGATCAGGTTGCCCAGGACCCCGTCCAGCCTGGCCTTAAACACATCCAAGGACGGGGCATCCACAACCTCCCTGGGCAGCCCGTTCCAGGGCCTAACCACTCTCCTTGTATAGAACTTCCCCCTAACATCCAACCTAAATCTTCCCTCCTTCAACTTGGATCCATTTCCCCTAGTCCTGCTGTTGTCAGCCCTTTTGAAGAGTTTACTCCCCTCGTGGGTGTAGGTTCCCTTCAGGTATTGATAGGCTGCAATGAGGTCACCCCGCAGCCTTCTCTTCTCCAGGCTGAACAAGCCCAACTCCCTCAGCCTGTCCTCATAGGGGAGGTGCTCCAGCCCCCTGATCATCTTAGTCGCCCTCCTCTGGACCCTTTCCAAAATCTCAGTGTCTTTCTTGTACTGAGGGCTCCACACCTGGACACAGTACTCCAGATGGGGCCTCACAAGAGCCGAGTAGAGAGGGACAATCACCTCCCTGTCCCTGCTGACCACCCCTCTCCTGATGGAGCCCAGGATCCCATTTGCCTTTCGAGCTGCCAGAGCGCACTGCTGGCTCATGTTCAGAATGAAGAATATATAAGAAGTATGTTGAGCACAGTAAAGAGGTTCATTCCTATACCATGGTAATTCTAAAAGCTCGAACTGGGTAGCGCGACGATAGTTCTCTAGTCAACAAATTCCTCCTTAATCTCAGACAAGGGTGATCATGCACAAGAACAGGCTCCCCAGGGAAGCAAACCACGCTCACCAGAGTTCAGGAAGCATCTGGACAGTACTCTCAGACATACGGTCTGATTTTTAGGTGTCAAGCCAGGATTTGGACTTCATGATTCTTATAGACTCCTTCCAACTCATGGTGATTCTGCTGAGCTGTTTTAGCCAAAACCATTATCAGTCAGTAATTTCAAGCATGAAACGTGTTAATGTTCTGATGATGCAGATCTTTTACTTTATGAGAAAACTTTTATTTTTTTTAAGATTTATAATTTTAGTAAAACACCCCCATACTTCTAATAAAATATTTTTTTTTTAATTAAGTATAAATTAAACATAGTCATCTCACTTACAGAAGCAACTTTAGTTGCAGTCAGTTCCCAAGTTCTTCAGCGTTTGTAATCAAACTTTTGGTTATCTTTTGAAATTATTATTTTCTCATTAAGAGTTCATACAAACGTGCTTAAAGTACAGTTCTAATTGTATAATCTCCTAAAAGTCTATATTGCTATATTTACTTTAGTATTTACCCTTAAAGCTTGTTTTTGTAACCCAAACCTTTTAGATGTCATTAGAACTGGAAACACAAATCTGAGGATTTGATTCAAGCCTGAATGCTATAAACATAAGATACAGTATTAATTCTGCCATTTGTTACTTTATATATCCTCTTTATTTTTCCACTTGAAAAAGCAAAAATGAGAATATTATGGAGACTGATGGTTAGGAGTACTTTTAGTGCTTGACTCTCTTGTATGATACTGCTATGACTTAGCATGACTTACCATACCCAAAGCTATGCTTGGAACATGTACATACTGTTAAATATAGAAAAATTGGTTTGTTTAGACTTGTAAAGAAACTTAATTAAATGTCTTTCTATGGGTGTTTATTTAAGCATTAATAGTCAAAATTCTGAGCATGTTTATACACATGGCTGTTTACAGATGCTAGTAAAACATGTCCAATTAGTTACACATTAGTTCATTGCTCTGACAAGGATCTTTTGAGTACTGCCCTCAACAAGGTTTTGTTTTAATGCCCGCTTTATCCCTCTGAATGTATTTGATGTTAGATGGGATTTTCATTTAGCAGAGCAGTACATTGGTATACTGAAATAACAGCACAATCATAATATAGCAGTTGCACTGTGATGGTGGCTGCGATGGTACATTTCTCCTGGCAATTAGTCACCTCACTGCCTTTTGTTATCTATAAAGCTTTCCCTGTGGCAGGCCAAAAGCTTCTTGACACTGTACTGCCAAGGAAATTTGAGGGCTCCCTGGCATGACCCTACAGACCTGTGTCTGTCAAACCTGTCTGAGATAGCAGATTTTATCAGGGCAGTTTGCAACTTTTGAGCATTCCCAACCACCATTAACCATCTGATATTTCTCATCCCCCGTGCTCTCTTCCACTACCCTTAACCATAGCTGATAAGCAGTTGTCTGGCCCAGAAGACAGGATGAGGTCTGTTTCAGTGTTGGGCTTTATAGGAGCATACTTTTTTCTAATACTAAACTGTGAACTGTGAACTGTGAATTCCTCATCATAGTATTAGACATTTATTCAGAAGGAATACATGAGTTGAAGCCGGCTTAGGAGACTTGCTCTCTTCATGCCTCCTTTTTTTTATTACTTTTTTTTCTTATGTTCTTCAGGCTGAATCACATCTATACTACCTCCATGTTGGTCTGATTAATTCAGCAAGACATTCATTTGCATTTTTTTGATTTGCATAAGAACAGACAGTTAAACAGTTAGTTGATTCACTTAACTGTTGTAGCTAGCTGGTCATCTCAACTGTTGTGGCCATTTTTCTAGAACATAGACCAGGTCCCTGTTAAGTGAAGTTCGGCTTTCTCTTTAACTGTTGTAGTCATATCACACTTCAAGCTTATTTCTTATTTCTGTAAAGCCTTCTCCCATTGCAGGAGTACATTGATAATTCAGAACATGACGTTTTTGGATTGTGTACATTTTAGTGCTCATAGAGAAATTTTTATGTATAAGTTTTTTTAACACAGATTTTTGTGACATTGTACACAGTCTTTATTTTTCAGTAATTCCATCATCATTTATATTGTAGGTCATGCAGGAGTCTCTGCCAGCATGATGAAGAAAAGAACTTCCCACAAGTAAGTTGTTAATATTTTTACAAAAATGCAGCTGTCTGTAACTGGAAGGACTGTTTTAGAAATATATCTGCATTGTTCCAATCACTTAGCTTCTGTAAAATTTAGGAAATAGCATTCCGTTTTTTGTGTAGAGTCAGACTTCAGTTCTTTCTGGAGGGTGGTAGGAAAGAATAAGCCACTAAGGGAGTTTTAAGCATCATTTTTGAATGTTATTCTGAAATTACCTTATGACTACAATTTACAATTTCTCTGGGATTCAGAGAGAAGCAGTTGCAAGCCAGAAACCAGTCGCATGTACTCAGGGACCTCTGTTAATCTGGCAAAATGTTCATCTGTTGCTAACAATTCTAAAGCATACTTACTGGTCGACAAGTATGGAAATAACCTTAGAAATATTTTATCTTCCATTCACTAGAACTGTAGTTTTGAAAAGGATTTTTCACTTTTCTGAAATAAAGGACATCTGAAGTATGTCTGTTAGAAGGCTGCTGTTCATATGTGTAGGATATCTTCTTATGCATTCTCATGACATGCATTATTTCCTGTACAAGATCTTTAATTAGCTACTGAATATTGCTGAGTAACTGTGAGAAAACAGTTAATACTCTGGTCATTATTGATCGGTGAGATGTATCTGACTGCATCTCTGATGGAGAAATCTAGGCTGCTTTAGCCTGAAATTTTTTAAAAAGTTACTAGTTCCATTTTAAGTCTAAAGTCCTATTATAGTGGTTTATGACATGCATCAATCCAAAGCAGTTTGCCTACCAAGTGTGTTTTCAGTGACTTAACTTTTTTGAATGAATAATAATTGTTTCCCAGAGACAAAATTTTATGTAAAATTACTCTAATCCCTTCCACCAACTCATCATTATCCATTCTTATCTATCTTCATAGAAGGCAAAGACATAAGTTTATTTGTCTAGAGGCAGGTAGAGTTGGTTAAAACTTAATTTCTCTTGTTCTTTTTCAACCGCTCAGAGAAAGGAGTGTATGATGGGAAGACTATCAGAGGTGGGTTGCCTTTTGTACTTGAGGGTGGCTAGATTTGTCTTTACTGTTGTGTTGATATACAGTTTTTAAATACCTAAATAGGTTGTGCATTTGTTAGCATAAAGGCTATATAATACAATTTTGAGGAATTTAACTATCCAGCTTAGTTTTATGTTAAGTTAGACTAGTTCAATTTTTTCTTGATCATTTAGCGAAGGTTTTATGTACCAAACGAAGATACGTGCTGTTCACTGACTTATCTAAGAATAAGAGAGACTAGCGGAGAATTGTTTACATGTATAATTTGCAGTGAGAAGGTGAGATATGGATGATTCTGTAACAATGTGTGCTTATAATACTCTGAGCTGTTATAGTAGACAGTAAGTTAGTAATGCATACTTTGTTGTTGATTTAGTTATCATGACTTTTATATTCCTCATTTAATATAAAACAAGAGGAACCAGCCTTGGCATGTTAAGGCCATAGGGGAGACTTCATACATGCTACAGAATTTTTGTGGCAGAGGGCAGAGCCAAGAGTATGTAAGAGAGCATGAGTCAAGGAAGTGATCATATGAGCAGTGCGGATTACTCTTCTGAAGTCATCACTAAGTGGTAGTCAATAGTCAACTGTTGAGCCTTTTGGAAAGGATTCAGCCGTGATTACAGTTCAGCATAAAGGCAGATCTTCCAGATGATGTCAGTGGGTAGTGACCATTGCTGTGAATATGAATCTGACCTCGTTAGCATCAGATCAGTCAGTAGCCTCTCAGATCTCATTCTTTCTCCACTCTTGGTACTTAAGAAAAGAGTACAAGAAATGATGTACGTATCAATCCTTTCTTCTCCCTGCATTTCTTGTAGTTTGCAATTTGAGGATCTCAAGGTGCAGGCTGTACCTGCAGTTTAACTATCAGTGAACCTAGCCTTTTGAATTTCTGATCTCTCTTTAAACCAACTTGTAATCTTGGCTTCTGCAGCATCATAAGATTTTGCAACTGAATAGTGAGTTTTGAGTGAGTGCAGAAAGCTCTTCGTCTAACGTGCCTCATAGTCTGAATATTGTGAATAGTAGTTAATAAGAGTTTCATTGTCATTCTGCTATTGGTAGTAGTCTGTAATAAGATTGTAATAAGTTTGGGGTCCTATTTTTAATACTTCTTCATACTGTGAAAGCCTAAAATTATTTGGACCGCTGCTGTTGTGTGCTGCACTTACACCACTTACACAATTGCAGAGTTTTCTTGCCAGTTCTTTTGCAGCTGTGCTTTTTTTTTTCTTTTCCCCTCCGAATGTTAGGGGCGTGGCTTTCTTTCATCCTTTGCTGTTTCTTTCCCTAGTTCTAACTCGTTTCTCTGAGAGCTGGAAAAAATTTATTTTTTTTCAAAACTTAATTAAACGGACAACTACATAGACTATTGGAAATTGCTATGCTCCTTTTATAAATACCAGTTTGTCTTGTAAGCACAGTCCTGAAATAATGGTTCTCAGCTGCCAGTTGTAAGTAGTTATGCAGTACACTGTTTGTCCTGATAGCACATGCAAAATGAAAGTTTGTATGAGGACCATCTAAGCATAATTTGAAGAAGTAGGAAGATTTCTTTCTGCGTGTGTAGTCTCACAAAGCTGGTTTTGATAATGAAGCCTTTTCATAACTAGGTTTTCTCTACCAGCTTAATGCCTTCAAGGTACGGAAGAGGATCTGAAACACACTGAGGATATGTCTGATGTGTTGAGAACTATTTCTAGGACTTGCTGGTTTTTTGTTTGTTTGACTCCATGTGTTGTATGTATCTAGAAAATTGATTGAGAATTAATTAATTTTCTTAATCTGAGAATCTGAGTGAAATTTTAGAAGAGAATTCTAATAGAGGTAAACACTTTGGGTCTTCTGGATATAGCATCTCAGAGGTTATGTATATTTTTATTACTTGGTGTATTACAGAAACAGCATACTATTAAGGTATTACTTGGGTTCATTACTTTTTGTCTTGGATGAAAATAAATTGGTAGCTGTTGCTTAAAAAGCTATACATTTGTTCTTACCACACATTCATATGTAAGAAAATATAAATTTTCCTTGGAAATTTACTAATTTAAAGATCTCATTTTTTACATTAAAAATACTGCAAATGAGAGTGAATGGCAGTTCAGTGGTAGAACAGCCTTCAAAAACAGCTTGATCTGGATGGTGTTTGACTACATTTGTAATGTTTTTTGCCCTCTCCAAGGCATTTTAAAAGGTAGTTACAGTTTGAAGTCACTTTTCCAGTATTTTTTCATCATATTATTTAGAATGACTGTGAAGCTTTTCACTTAATTGTTTCACTTTAAACGTTTCAGGGTGCTTTACAGGTAGAAAAATTGATATTGAAAAGTATCTTTAAACTTTTCAAGAATCAGACAACTAGCAGCATATACAAACATTAAAAACTGATGCTATTGTAACTTTCAGGGTTTTTTTAACTTTGTTTTATTCTGTCTTAAATAGAACTAAGATTCATTAGAACTAAGTAAATGTAAAACTCATTTCTGTTGTCTCATCTGAGTCACAATAAAGTATTACTAAAACCATTGTAATTTAAAAAAAAAAGAAACACTTGACCAAGAGTTTGAAAATGCGTTCTAGTGTCAGCATAAAATTAAAACCAACTGCAAGAAAGAGCCTTGTAGCTGATAGTTTATAATAATTTATACTCTCAGAAGTTAAGACTGCAAACACTGTAGCCTTATTTTGCTGAAAAAGTCAAATCACAGAAGGGGAATTTTGTTAAATTCAACTATTGAAGTATCTGCTAAGATCTTTTTCTGAAGGTGGAACAAGCTGATGAAATAATAAGTTGATGAAATAATCATACGTCTCGTTTTTTGTAGAATTTTGATTACATCTTCAGCATTATGCATTCTAGCTTCATATAGTGAATGCCTTATTCTGTAGGACTGAGATTTCACTGTTGTCTTCTTTGTATCTTTATCATACATACACTGCTCTGTGAGCTCTCATCAGCTTTCTCTTCAGTTACTGCTGTCTTGAAGAAAAAAAATTTGTTTTGTTTGCAACCTATTTTCATTCTTTAGATGTTACTTTTAAGAATATTATTTCATGTTTGCCATATAAATGAAGTATATAACAGGTAGTAACTAATCAAAACAATTATTTTTGTTTTAGTTGAGATTCACCATTATTATGATGTGTCACCCTCCTAAATAAACATTTTAAGAATTAAAATGTATATTGTAACATGCTAAAATATACATAGTACTAATTTCCTATCCCCAGTATACTGTCATAATGTTCGTTTGTTTCTTCCATTTGTATTCAAATGGTCAGTTGGTGATTTTAATAACTTGCATGAAGCATTCAGTGCTTTGTCAGACAGCTTACGTGATTGCTGATCAGAACAACTGCTCAGACCAGAAGGAATTTTCATGCAACTTCCATGAAAACAAGAAGGGGAGAAAAATGTTAGTGCACTAAGAAGTATGCCTTCTATCGCCGTTACCATTACATACAATTTTAATGGTGTTGCAATAAAAAGGAATGCTAGAAGAATATTATTGCTGACATACCTTTAAAAATACTTTGACTCCAAAATAAGTGAAGAAGGAAGCAAAATATCTTTCAGATGAAAACACGTTGTAGGAGAAAAAATTCCTTAGAAGAATTTTAGTCACCTGCCAGTAATACTTCCACTCATTTCTTCATTCTTGTGTAAGGGACTTATGTTTACTATTCACAAGGGAGAGAAACAAGATAGTAAAGTTCTGTGAGGTAACTGTGCTTTGAGATATGATCAGGTGAGTTGATAGCATAGTTCTTAAGCAAACTAGTTTTAGGTATACAATTACAAAGCTCTCATTAAAATGTTGTTGGGAGTAATCCACTACTCTTCAGTATGTTTTTGTTGGTTGTTTTTTCTTTTTTTTTTCCAGCATAGCGTAATAAGCCTTATACTTTTATTTCGCTAAGATACACTGAGCTGCAGACAAAGTATACACTTCTTATCCAGAGTAGAATTTTGAATATGTGCTTATTTAATATTGTGTTTGTATCTGTGTACAGAAAGCACAGAAACAATGTGGGACCAAGCAAACCTATTTCTCAGCCACGAAGAAACATTGTAGGCTGCAGAATACAGCATGGATGGAAAGAAGGGAGTGGACCTGTAACACAGTGGAAGGGCACAGTTCTTGACCAAGTTCCTGTAAATCCCTCTCTTTATCTTATAAAGTATGATGGATTTGATTGTGTATATGGACTAGAGCTGCACAAGGATGAAAGAGTTTCTGCACTTGAAGTCCTTCCAGACAGAGTTGGTAAGTTTTTTTTCCTAAATACACACATATAATTTGACACTTATTTTTGAATGTTTCCTGGCATCCCAGGAATGAAAAGATGAAATCTGATTACTTATATTTTATTAATTATTTTTTGTCATATGGCAGGTAATCTTAAACATTCTGTTTAAATTTTCTGATTTCACAAAGATCTGACAATACCAGAGAATCCAGTAGGGGTTTTTTTGTTTTGTTTTGTTTTGTTTTTTTTGTCTTCAAATAGCATTAGTACATTCTGTGGTTAGAGTCTTACCATAGCAAAATTATGAAAAGTTAACTTTGCTTTTTCCACTAAAATTTAAACTCTAGGTGATCTTAGTTATGTTGTGTGTAGTATGTCTGGAAGTGATATTTTTCCTTCTGTACTTTACATAAGTATTTCTAATAACAGCAGGAAACATTTTCAATGACTTCAACTTCTTTAAACTGCTCTCTGTTTGACTTCTTTTTCTAGCTTTCCTGACCTACTCACTGCCCAATATCTAGCTAAAATACAAATAGTTTTCATTGCTGTGGCCTATGCTGGTATTGCATTACAGTGCATTATGAGTATTTGATCTTGAGCAAGGCATTCAAGGCCAGGCTTGATGTGGTTCTGGGCAGCCTGGTCTAGTATTTGGTGACCTGCACGTAGCAGGGGAGTTGAAACTAGATGATCATTGTGGTCCTTTTCAACCCAGGCTATTCTGTGATGCTGTGATTCTATGATTCTACGATAAGAGCAATAAAATGATTTATTGTTTTAACAACACTAGTAAAATTCTGCGTTTCTTCACTAAGTAAACTCTGTGGAATGGACAGTGTTTGCTTTGTATATGAATTGACTAACTTCAAATAAAATCTGTTCGTGAATCATGAAAAAAACCCTGCTTTTCACAGTGACATATAATCGTGCTGTTGAATGAACTTATGGAATGCTGTCATTGCAGCTTCATCTCGAATTAGTGATGCCCACCTGGCAGACACAATGATTGGAAAAGCTGTGGAACATATGTTTGAGACAGAAGATGGCTCAAAAGATGAATGGAGGGGGATGGTCTTGGCTCGAGCTCCTATTATGAACACATGGTTTTATATTACCTATGAGAAAGATCCTGTCTTGTACATGTACCAACTCTTAGATGATTATAAAGAGGGTGACCTTCGCATTATGCCTGATTCAAGTAAGTAGGCCCATTAACATTTTTTTTTCCTCTGGAAAGTGTCATCTTTTTACATAAGTATTTGCCTGTGGTTTATTAATGGGCATGGGAGTTTGTTTTCATGGACATGACCTTTTATGAATGCAATTCTGTTAATCTGAAAAATTCTGGGGCTGGTTTGATTATTCATCTGCTTAAAATCTGCTCACTCACTCTAGATACATTCTGGACATATTTGTACACTGGGCTAGAACTGACTATGGATGCAATTCCAGATTTGATTATGGAGGATTTGGGTTGTACGGAGCTTGCATTTGGCAATGACACAGTTGAGATCCCCTGCTTAAGGAGTAAAGTAAATTTGTGGATGAACAGTTGGCTGATGTGTTGGGGTCAAGAAGTTGTAGTAAAGGTTGTAAGGGGTTACATTAGACTGTTGGGGTTCCCAAGGGTCAATTTTAGGGCCAGTTCTGTTCAGTATTTTTATAAGTGATCTGGACACAGTCAAAAAAGCATACTAAGTTTGCAGGTGATGTTAAAATAATTCTTATAACTATTGAAAAATTTCATTTTTAATCAGCAGAGGAGTATGCAGTAAGTAGTGGAAAGCTGTTTTCCATAATTATTCTTAACTTTGCTGAAGATATGTTCTTGCTACTACAGAAGAGGTTCTGTCTGGAGTTTTTATTAGAAACTCGACAAACCAGACGCTTTCCACTATTGTTCTTATATGGAAAGAGGTATCATAGCTCACAGAGGATGTTTCTGATTTGTGTTTCTGAAGCAGTTTAATTTAGCTGTGGTAGGTCTTCAAAGTGGAAAACCTTTGAGTAGTTTATTGGGGAAAAGAAGCACTTAAGATATTGAAAATTCATTTTCTTTCACATGTTGCAGAATGAAGAAAAAACATGGTAGATTAGGGGAATATATTTTTCTTGTTTCTTGAAGTGAAAGTTTTGTGGCTTTTCCTACTAACATGAAGAATTTTCACAGAATAAATATTGTTCAGGAATATAGAATAGAGTAGAATTTGCGCTAGTGTTAAAGCTAAAACTTACCCGGGCGATTCTTTTTATTTTCTCAAGCTTAGGTTGTTACTTGTCTTTGTGTATGTGAGGACACAAAAATGTAACTTCTTTTAAGCTTTTATTTTTGTAAGGGAAAAATACTTTACCAGTTTTGATACTAAAACTGTGTAAATACTGCACAATTCTTTCTAATTAAAAGCTTATGTTTTGTCAACAAATACTTCACATAAAACTGATTTTGAGAGAAGGATAACTATTTGTGATGATGCATTTATGGAGGAACTGTACATTTACAGAGAAATTTCATAAAAGAAATAGAGAAAGAATGTGGGTTTTTTGGTGAGGCTAGCTTCCAGTTCTCCAGTACACTGCTATTACTGCTTATTGTATTTGTTCTGTAATTTACTTGTCTTTTTGCATCAACACGTGGCATAGACACTGTCAAAAAATACAAGGCTACTTCTGGGTAGATTTTGCTAGCCAAGCAAATAATATGGTTAGACTTCAGTAATGATACCTATTGCAACGTCAAATCAAAAGCTCTAACAAAGAGGTTACTCGTAGTAGACATCTGGGAGGTGTGCTTGTTGCATATACTCAAACATCGCATAATGTGTGTATAGGGGGTAGATGGGGCTGCTGATGAGATCCAGTCTTGTTCCTGCTGGTAGATTAAATTCAGTAATCCACAAGCATTTTTTATAACATGTATGTAAACCTTTTTGATTAAAGATTAAACAATCAAAACTGCTGTTTTTGACTTCGTAAAATTGAACTGTTGTATTATTGGTGGGCTAAAAAAATATGCAACTGTACGTTTCAGAAGTACACTGGTTATTAAATGTTTGTGTAAACAAAACAGCATACTATGTATTTAAAAGTTCTGATAGTTTCTTACTGGTTTTGCAGATGAGTTTGATGTTATTTTCCATACTGAAATTCCATCCATGCCTACCAAAGTATGCTGGTTTTGTGTTACAGATGATTCACCTCCTGCAGAACGGGAACCAGGTGAAGTTGTGGACAGCCTGGTAGGCAAACAAGTGGAATATGCCAAAGAAGATGGCTCAAAACGGACTGGCATGGTCATTCATCAAGTTGAAGCCAAACCATCTGTCTATTTCATCAAGTTTGATGATGATTTCCATATTTATGTCTACGATTTGGTGAAGACATCCTAGACATCATTGTGAACTCTGCCAAATTTGTGGAACTATTAAATGTAAAATTTGTAGACACAAAGACTTGACTGCTTTCCAGTTTAATGAAAGCTTAAATGTCCCTGCGAACCCACAATCTCTGCCAGCAAAACTGTTTTGTTCTGAATAATAGGAAAAAAATTGTGTGAACATGATACATTTTGTGTAAGAGAACTCCTTTTCTTGGAGGAAGTCAGTATATCTCAACAGGAGGAAGTTAAGAGCAAAAAACAGCTGCAAATTCAGGCTGTGTAAATTTGATCCAGTATTGTAGTCCTTAATCTAAATTTTTTTCATAGATTTTAACTTTCTTCAACTTTGCACTCACCTCATGCAAGTGTAGTTTGATATTTTGATATACCTTCTTTTATAACATTAAATTTAATTTCTTGGCTACTGGCAGTCCTTGTTTTCAGGGTTGGGACAGAATTGATGTTCATTCAAAACTGAAAGGTTTGAATGATTTGTTCTGCATTAAGGAGTGCCTAACCCAAGTAACACCAATCTGCTGTGTTTCTACACTTTATTTTAAATACAGCTTCTTAAGAATTTGCAGTACATGGAAATACTTGTGCATTTTTAGTAGTCACATGGCTGTAGAATATCCAGTGTTTGACTTGCACAACTTTCAGTGAAAAGTCTTAAAACTACAAAATATATTTAATCTGTATAACCAGTTATCTAGAAAATGCAAGGTTAATAGCCCGTATTTACAAGTTGTAGGAACCGGTAACATACAAGCAACAAGGCTGC